CCAGACTATACGAACACCAATAATCATAGAAAAAATCAGGTCTTAAATTCTAGCAAATTCAACAGGTAATTGACACTCGTCTTAATTTTTGTCTCCCACAGAGGTTTCTTTTATTAGGGGCCTATTTGGATAAAATATTTGAATGTCAACAATATTTGTTTTCTTAATTAAAAACTGATTACCTAAAATAAACTTAGGAATGATTTAATATGACACTTAAATTTTAAAAAAGACGATATACAAAAGGGATAAGCAAGGTTTGGAACAAACCAATAATGAGAAACTCCCAAAGAGCATCATCCATAGGAAGTCAGCCGTACGCCTGTCAAATGGTCCTCTCTCTAATTGCACCCCATATCTTGCTCTACAGAGTTCAAATCACGGTATAAAAAACATGTGCAAAGAAGAACTAAAAAAATCCTAGACTAATGGCGAGGCATAGATATCTATGCGCGCCTATTCACTCAATTGTTCTGTAATTCTCTATGTAGAGAAGGACACGGGTCTCATGTTTCTCTCGTGCTTATAGGTACACAAAAGAGAGAGAGAGAGAGGGGGGTAGCAAGAGCTGCAAGACAGAGGTCAGCCCAACAGCACACGGGTGGGAGGGAGTTCATTTCTTTAAATCCTGGAAACTTTAATCCCCGAGCCACAATCCAGGAATTAAATTTTATTTTCCTTTTTACAGAACCATCTGTTACAATTTTGTTACATCAAGTTCGCCAAATGAGTGGTTGTCACAAAATCTATTTCAAAACCAAAAACATTCTAGCATTAATTTTTTAGACTAGACAAACGTCCTCAGGGTAAGGGTGCTCCTAAAAACTTTTCAGTGGAGTTCATTTGAATTAGAACTTACAATTACATCACTATTGATGATGTAAGGTCTTAATAACCATTAATGGTTAGTGGAAATGGAAAGAAAAGAACTTACATCATTAAAAGGCGAATCCCAAAATTTATAGAGAAGTTGCCGAGGAAGAAAAAGTTTGTAATGAGCCTCCATATCTGCATAACTTCCAAGATTATAAGGAGCATGAAGAAATTGATGACTATTCCGAGTAAATAAATATGGAACCAAAATAAGGGAATGGAATCAATATGGACAGGCCATACTAACACAGTGTTAGTATGGATTATGGTTTTGTTATATCCCCATTCATCTCAGGCCACGGAGTCATCTTAACTACCAGCAAACCCTATGCCACAACTCAAATATTATAATCTTCTAGTGATAATTATGGCACAACATTTTAACTGTTCACATTAGTCATCAAACTTCACCTAATCCACAGCATAAAATCATATGTATGTTTTTGTTTTTTAATGTTGTCCAAAAACAGGTTAAAAGCTAAGGCACTAGAATAGCTAAATCTAAATAACAATACACTCATTACCATCTAATGCTTCACAATCAGAACAGTGTGCTTGTTTTATGGAAGCAAATAAGAATCTCTTCATAGAACCTTTTACTCTTTATACTAGACAATGAAGCTCACCATCACCACAGTAAGCACGCCATGCACGGGCAACAGTATTATTTGTACCTGATATTTCATGGAAAAACACTCATCTCTTGCTTATTTCAATATAAAGATGCATTCATAACATTACGACGGCTAATACTATCGCTTGTTGATTTCTTTAAATATATTCTTGTCGAACTTTTCTCTTCAAATAGTTCATTTTAAATAATAGTTTTACTACTTTTTTAACATAACGGGTACTTGGATGGGCTTTAATTAGAAGGTTCATTATTCCCTGACTAAGGACCAAGCTGCAAAGGTTACATCAACGGTACCCATCATCCAAAATTCATAGCATCACAAGTTTCCTGAAGATCTGTCATTAAAATAGGTTTCCAACCGTTTGTACTAGTACGAGAAAACTTCTAACTCCTCCCAAAAAACAACAAAAAATATACAAATTAAAAAGTTCCCCACTGAAAGAAACAATTACTAACAACTTCCACCGACAAAGAGCATATTCATATGACTCTATTTGTCAAGATAAGGATCACTGCAATTCAAAAGAGCAAATTACAATGAACATTTATGCAGAAACTACATGAGAGATCAAGAGAGAGTCGGAGATTTGAAGCTTTTGCCAAAATCTAGGAGTATATAATTTGAAGTTACATAAATTTAAAAATGTCTGGCAAAATACACATGTCACAAAATTTGTATTCATGATCTTCAGGTACAATGTTCATTAAAGTAGAAAATTCCCCAAAATGAAAACTAGACAGAAGAAGCAACCTGTGGGAAGCAACTAAAAAAATTAACTATTTTAGGGATGGCAAAGGGCCAGGGGCAGAGGGGCCGACTTGAAGAACTAGGGCCTAGGCCACAACATGTGGCCCTCGAGCTGGGCCAGGCCATGGCCCAATTAGGGCCTCTTCGGCCCTGTCCAGGCCAAGCCAGGGTTGTATCCAGTCCTAAATGATTTGGCCATGATATGAATTAGGACCTGAAAAAATAAACTCATAAATACGAAAAGAATTACCTGGAAATTTCGGAAAACTCGATTAGGGATTAACACTATATAGTCAAGATCAATCAACCCCAATTGAACTGCAGTAGTTGTTAACAAGCAGATAGTTCCATAAGCCTTGCTTACAGGTGGAAGGGATCTGTAGAACCTGCACCAAAGTGAAGCCAAAAAAAAAAGGAATATCACAAATCAGCAATTTATTAAGGTATACCTAGAAAAAGAAAAAAAAAAAAAGAAAAACAGAGAGAGAGAGAGAGCAGAAGTTATGAGTATGCACACATTATATAGATCTAGCGCCGGAACTTCCAAATTTAATCATTTGTAGATATTTGAGGACTATTAACTATCGCAATTACATATTTCGATGGAAAAGGGAAAAAATCTCAGGGCATTGCAAAAATGCAGCCAGTGACATTACATTTGCTTAATAAGAAAAATCATCATCATTTGAGCCTTATGCTAAATATTTGAGGTCGGCTACACGAATTACGTTCCACCAGTTCGCTCTATCAAGGGTCATACTCTCAGTTAGACCATAAGTCATCATATATTTTCTCACTACTTCCATCCGTGTCCTTTGGGGCCTTTTCATTTGCCTTCTTAGAACTTTCCACTTGAACTAAATCAACCCTCCTAACTGGTGTTGTTCTAAGTCGACATTGCACATGTCAAGACCGCCTAAGTCTACGTTGCATGCTTTTTATTTGTTCATGCATAAATCTATGGGTAAGACCAAAGGGCTCCATTAATCTCCATTCCAAGTCCAAAATGGCCATAATCCACATATATGCAAGAACACACGCACACAGTCCCTGGACAATGCTTAAAAAGAACATTTATTGAACCTGGATGCATCCAAGTTGACTTGATTCAGGCACTTCCAAAGTTCTTAAGCACATGAGAGCAAAATATGAGGTAGATCCTTCTTTTTAGGTATCTAGAAAGCCCTTCAAATTCATAATGTAAAAATTGGGGTGAGTCTTCAAAGGACAATGTCTTTTTCTTTCACATAATCTTTTTTTTCACATAAGACTAACACAAGTGACACAACTGTGATCAGCGGCAGCCAACAACCAGCAACACAACCGCGTTATTGAGAGAGAACAAATGGGCAGAGAAGAAATCACACGAAAAATGGCACAAACGCAAGGATCCATGGCCTCTACCACACACCATAGGAGAAAACAAGGAGAAAGAAGTCTCTCTCTCTCTCTCTC